TTTTTTGCTTTCTCCCCCCTTTTTTTTGGCTTTCCTCCTTTTTTTTGCTTCTCCTTTTTTTCTTTTCTCCTCCTTTTCTTTCGCTTCCCCCCCTTTTTTTCCACATATATTTTTGCTTTCCCTTCCAACTTTCCGCCCGTCTCCCGCAGCCCCTCGCGCGTTCGCGAGGCACCATTTTATTCCCCGGAATGTGCAGGGTGGCCGTTCCCAAGCACTTCCCAGCTGGGCTCCGCAGCTCCCGTGCTTCGCAATTCCTCCCCTTTAAAATAATTCCGGATCCGGAGCTGGAGACGGGAGGGATTGCCATGGGCTACACGGATCGCCAACCTGCAGGCATGTGTGTGGGGGGAATAAAACAGGAAAAAATGGGGTTTGATTCAGGAAATCTTACGGAGTAGCTGGAGCCTCGCGCCGCCCCCGCCGGTCTTCCTGCTGTAAAAGCAAATAAGGAGCTTCCCACCTTGGAGGTTCCTTGGATTTGGCGGCTGGGATCAGAATCTGACTGTTCTTTGCAGGTGAGTGCTGGAATATCCCCCATTCCAGGCTAGGAATGTGGCGTTTGGAAATAACCAGGCAGTAGGGAAGTCCGGGAAGCCGCTGCGGTCCAAAAAGCAGGAATCTGATCAGGCAACAAGCAGTTCTCTGGGGTGATTAATCCTGAATCCTGCAGTCTTGCAATTGCACGTTAGAAAAAGAGCTTTCAGATTTCTCCTCCTTTGCAAGCCTGGAGGAGCAGGCGGATTCCCAGGGATGAGCAGACAATTCCCGGGGATCGGCATGCGGATGGTCCCGTCCGGAGGTAGGTTGGAGGAGCAACGAGCAGATGAGTTGGAGTGAGCCCGGAACGGCTCTTCCTTGGGAGAAAGAAGCTGCCGATGGGAAAATCGGGGAGTTTTCCTGGTTTCTGCCCGTCCCGGTGCAAGCGGTGGGGCCGTGCTCTCGGCTGATGCGGAACAGCCTTCCCCAAAATTCCTAAAACCTTTCATGGAGTAATCAGAGTGCTCCAGCGTTCACGTAAGCTTGTCCACGGTACAAAGAAGAAATAATTTCCCGCTTCGAAGGCTGCGATTTCGCCGTTTAAAAGCCCCTGGTGTATTAGAACTGGTGACTTTCTCTCTCGAGAAACCTTCTTTACCATTGCCATTAAATTTTCATCCCTAAATTTAGTTCCCAAGCGGAACCGCGTTTTCTCCTGCATTTCAGAAGCTACTTTGGAGAGGAAGATCAGACAGCTCTGCCCCATTCTGACTCACGAATCTGCCTGTTTTTTCATCTATTTTTCTCCTCTGTTGTAGATCGCCCCAGCCTGCAGGCAGTACAACCCAGAAGCCTCCCTAGTCTTACACCTGCATCCCAGTGCATCCTTTTCCATGCAGCTTTTCCAAAGCTTTTGCTTTGGGGATCAGGTGGAGAGCTGAGTTCAGCCCTGTGTCCCCCTTTCACACGGAATCATCCGGTTTTGGGTCCTCACCAGCATATCAGGGTTCCTCCATTTCAATAGCGATCTGGAGAGCTACGGTAATGAAAAACGGTGCCTTTTGTCGGGGTTTTGCAGAACGTTCCTGATGAGTTTTGGATGCAAAACAGGAGTTTGATAAGGTCAGCGAGAGATGAAGTGCGGATAATGATATCTTGCTGCTGCAGTTAAAAGGGAAGTCGAACCCCGGTCGTGCCTCCCAGATAACTATATTAGCTCATAAATTTTCATAGCATTTATGTTTTTTTTCACCCGACACGCAGGCAGCTAAGTAACATAACGAACAGTGGCTTTTGCTTGCCTTCAAATGAGCAGGAGAGGCTCCGAGGGCCAGCAGGGAGCTGCTGGAAGCCCCTCGTGGATTATTCCACGCGATAACCCGGGTATTTTTTTAATAAGAGCGTCTGGAAGCAGCTGGGTGAGGCCTTGGCCGCCTTTGGGGTTTTTTTCCCCTTTATTTTTGCAAGGTGTTTGCTTTTCCTATGCACCACAAAGGAGCTGGGCCCTCCTCGCCTCACAGGAGCAGGTTGAGGTGGAGCCCTGGGTGGAGGGAAGGGATTCGGAGCGGATCCACCGGCACGGAGGAGGGAAAATGGCACCCCCGGAGCTGCCAGGGTCTCCTGGGACAGCGTGACGGGTTTGAGGAGCTCGGAGCGGGTTTTTTCCTTCATCCCGAGTAATCTTTGCGGGATGGCGGGATGGGCCGCGGCGCGCGGTATTCCCGCTCCGGCGCCCGTTGCTGGCCGCGTCTCCGTGCCGGTTATTACGTGGGCCTGGTTTGTGAATAGAAAAGCCGGCTCCGGTTGCATCCTGGTCGGGTTGTTTGCTTTTGAGGAGGAACCAAAGCCCGTTCGGCTCCCGTGGGCCGTGTTCCTGGCAGCGGATCGACTCCCTCGGTGACAAACGTCGCCCCGGCTGAGCGGCGACAGGTTTTTTGGGGCTTTTCCGTGTGGGGTGGAATGGGGAACGTGGGGACAGGTAGAGGTTAGTGCTCTAGGGCAGAGGGACTAGGGGAGGAGTGGGGGAATATGCTTGAAATTGCTCAAATTAGGATAAAAATAGGCTTACAGCGGGAAGGCCTTGTCGTCCTGCCTGATTTACCTCATGGATAAGCAGCCGTTTTAGTGTTCCATGGTGTTCTCGTTTTCCTCTCTATTTTCTCCTTCCAGTAGCTGCGTTTTTTCCTTGGATATTCTAGTATATTCTGACGCAGTATCCATGTCTTGAAATACCACTCCGGAGCTTGAGAAGAAAAGGAAATGTGGGAAAAGGAAGGTTTTCTAATATTCCCAAAAAAAGGGCTGGAGGAGGCTTTCCGGTAGTGTTACAGAACGTCATGTTTCTATTTCAAGGAGAAAACTGAAGAATTTCAAAGACCAAGAAGCTCTTCCAGGTTTATATTAGGAAGTCTTCCTGCTTCAGCCCTTAGGATTTTTTTGGGAGGGCAGGTGGAGCTGGGAATAATGCGGCATTATATCTTAGTATCACATTTGGATCAGATTGCTTTAATTTAATCTCTATTTTTTCAAGTTTAGCTGGACCGTGGTGGCGGTGATTTGCTTTGCAGCAGAGGAGATGGCTCCTGCACTTCTGAAAGCAATTTAGATTCCAGTTAATTACCATATTCCCAGTTCCTAAGGAATAGGCTGCATATGGAAGAAGGAAGCCAGGTTTGTTCTCCTCTCCATCCCTTTCCATGCTCCTGAATCAGTCCAAGTGCAGCCCATATTTTTTAACTTAAAATGCTATTTATTTTATTCACTTTTTAATAGAAAATATGGATATGTTTTCAGTAAAAGAAATAGCCTTGAACTAATTTTGGTTTTCCTTCAGTAAAAAAAAACAAGCCTACTTCATTTAAGAACCCAGCTTCGTTCCCCGCATTGTGGCGTGTGGTGGTTATGGCACATATAATTTAAGTTAACATCTGTCATAAGGCAAAAGGAAACATCCACAACTGTCAGGCTTGGTTTGTCACGAGTTTAGATGGAGTTTAGATGGATTTAGACGTGTTTAGATGGATTTAGACGTGTGGTTGCCAGAAAACTTGGACTCCAGATGGAGAAATCCGCGTGTTCCTCCCCTCCAAAGGGTGAATTTTGCCCCACTTGAGTTGCAGAAGGCTGCAGATGGGTAAACATGAGGTGAATTTTTTTGCACTGAAGAGTCTAGCTCAAATGTTGCGTCTTAAAGGTGAGGGAAGGTGTAATAAAATTGGTACGTGATCAAATTGGAATAGAAATATTGCCTTTGAAATAAGAAAATAATTCTAGAGAGCAGAATTGCTGGAATCCCTTTGGGGTACGGCCTGTTGGCCGCTGCTGTCCTGCGATGGTGCCAAATGGGGACACAATTAAGATCTTTTCTGCAGGGCTCTGCTCCTGTCCCCCAGCACTTTGCATCCTTTTCATTGGTATTTTTCAGTATTTTCTGGCCTTTTCAGGAAAAAACCTCGCAGCCTAAAGGAATGCGATTACACAAACATCATTCTCAACCTCGATCACGGGCAGCAGCATTTCCATGGACAAAAACAGAAATGAAGCAAAAACAAACAGGAGTTTTGGTTTCAATAATTTTTTTTCCTCCTCTTTGCACAGGTTCCTCAAAATTAGCACTATGACTGATGGAGACTATGATTATCTGATCAAACTCCTGGCCCTCGGAGACTCCGGGGTTGGAAAAACCACGTTCCTGTACAGATACACCGATAACAAATTCAATCCCAAATTCATCACGACGGTGGGCATAGATTTCCGGGAAAAACGGGTGGTAAGTTGTCTTGTACAAATAACATCTGATTTATTTTCTTTTTTTTTTTTCTTCTTTATTCATTATTTCTGAGCAAATTAGCATATTGCTTCTCTTACTGTAGGATAACACCTATATTCATAATGATTTTCCTGATCTAGTTTTTGGCTAGATATAGGGTGTAAAATCAACTTGCTAATAGTAGCAGTTGTACTTTGCTTAAATAATAAAAGCCTAATAAATACAAGATATTAGAGCCTGGGCAATGCTTGTAGACATTTCCTTGTTGGAAATTGTAGCTACTTGCCCAGCTGAACGACAGGGACCTGTTTAAACTCGCTGTTTTTTAAGTTCCTGAAGTATTTCACAGGCAGTGGCATGAGATCTGCATATACTCTACTTAGGGCATATTTTGGTGCTTTTAGGTCCCTAGGGATGCTGCCAATTAAAATGCAATAGTTGTAGTTGTGCAGTGCTAGAAAATTAATCACGAGGCCTTAGGTGCAATAAAAGCGCCTTGGATCCGGATTTGGGCTGAAATCACCCAGATTCGGTGTTGTGTAAGCCCGGACCGGTTCAGCTCGATGCACAGGTTGGAAGCTGCTTCCTTCCCCTCCACGTTAGATTCCACCGAGGCAACGAGAGTAAAATATTAATGGGGATTTTTATTGCCAGCGAGTGTCTGAACACGCTCCTTGCTGGAGTGCTCTTTCCTGGCTGCTCAGAGGCTCATTAAAGTGTCTGCACAGGGACCCCGGGCTCATCCTGCAGTGCTGAACTTTCCTGCTAAAGGTTGCTGTCTAAATTCTCTGCTAATTTCCCTATTACAGCGTATTTTTGGCGTAGGATGCTTGATAAGGGTGGGAGAAACCGTCTTACATGAAAAAAACCCTTCCTCTTGAGGAAGAGATTTTAAAGGTTAAATGAGTGGTTTTCTGGTGTGTTCAAGTCGCTTCAAAAACTGCCTCCTTGTGATTCCCAGTTTCCTTTTTGCTAAATATTATAGGAAGGTGCCCCAGGAAAGCTGTTTAATTTACAAAATCCGGTGTGGTTGGTGCCCCAGTTAATGCTGGATAAGGCCTTGTCCATAAACCCCATGTTGCCATGAGGGAAATGCAAGAGCCCTGTTTTCCTGCTTGTAAAAATTGCCAAGAATCTGCTAAACTAACCCAGACAACAAAAATGGACCATGGGGGGTTTTATTGCTGTCTTTAAGTTAATTTTCACCCTTTCTTTTTGCTAATGAGCGCCAGACCCCTGCATATGACCAAATTATCTTTAAGGGGCAGCTCGTGAAGATGTTTCTGGGTTTCCAGGTGTTGTTGCAACCTCCCTCTGAAGTGGCTGTTACTAGTAAAGCCCAGCTTTGGGTTAAGGCCTGGGTTTGGTGCTCGTTTCCCTGATCTGAGCTGCTCTTTCTGCAGGTGTACAGCAGCAAAGGCCCCAATGGAGCTCCAGGGAAGGCCTTCAAGGTGCATCTCCAGCTCTGGGACACGGCCGGCCAGGAGAGGTAACGGCTTCGGGGCAGTCTCTGCAGCTCCTTCAAGGTGCATCTCCAGCTCTGGGACACAGCCGGCCAGGAGAGGTAACGGCTTTGTTTTGAGGGGGAGAAGAATCCCAAATCATGTTACTTTGGGACAACAAACGTGTGTGTCACGAGTTTTCCAAACGTGGCTTTGTTACCGAGGTCAGAGCATCCCAGAAAATCGGGCTGGAAGGAATTTCAAGCCGGTTGTTCATGGCCACAGCACAGCTCTCGTTTCCAGCACACGTGGGTTATTGATTCATTGGGGTTTTGTAGTGGTTTTTGGCTTCATAACGTGTTTTTAAGCCCTTCTGGAAGGGACTAACTATCCCATTCTCCTGTTTTTCTGATCCTATTATATTTTAAAGGGCCAACTGCCCATGGCATTTCCCTAAGTGGCCTCAGTGGCCTCATGCCATCACGTGCACTGGCCTTTGCTGTCACAGAGCATGTGTGGTTGCCCCGTGTCACTCCTGGTGTCATCTGTGGAGACTTAAATGCAGCTCCCAGCTCTGTGAAAGGCTCCTGTTATTTTCCCCTCCCCGGGTTTTATTCTGCAGTTAAATCGGGCAGAATTTGACCCATTTCCTTAGTCACCAGCAATGTTGTTTTCACACAGAAGCTTCCCCTGGTGGGTTGCTCACACTCTGATTAAGAGCTATCGAGCAATGTGATGCATCACAGCAAAGATGAAGGTCGTGGCTTTTGCTTCCATGGGAACCTGTATCCACTAAATCACACGGACGCTTCGTATTTCACGAGAGTTTAATGGAATTTTTGCCCAAATGACTCGGAAAAGCTTTGCGCTACCTCTCATTTTCCTTCATTCAATTAAGACTTGTCAAAAATACGTTCACCTTGAGTGTTAGGGCTCAGTTTGCATTAACAGAGCTGTCTTGTCTCCCCTTTTTTCCTTCCTGCAGATTTCGGAGCCTCACCACGGCGTTTTTCCGAGACGCCATGGGCTTCCTCCTGATGTTTGATCTCACCAGCCAACAGAGCTTCTTAAATGTCAGAAATTGGATGAGTAAGTAGAGCTGTGCCTACACTGCTTGACTTCTTGAGGCTTCCTCGTGTGTTTTGGGCTTCTAGGTGTCGTGGTGAGCTGGAAACCAGGCAAAGGAAGTGTTTGGCTGTAGAGAAGGCCCTTGCAGGATTGTTTGGGGTTTCTTTGGCTTCCAGGAATTCCAGTTTCTTTCTCCTCCTAGGTCAGCTGCAAGCCAATGCGTATTGTGAGAACCCGGATATCGTGTTGATTGGGAATAAGGCGGATTTATCGGACCAGAGGGAGGTCAACGAAAGGCAAGCGAAAGACCTGGCCGACAAATACGGGTAAGCCAACGATGAGAGAGGCTAAATTTAGTTAATAACAGTGGCTAAGTGGAGGTGAGGGCTATCCAGAGGCAGTCACAGGCATCCTGTAACTCAGGGATGCTGAGGAGAATATGCTGGAAGCTTTATATGATGGAAAAAGAAGAATTGGAGGGTACTCTACTGGATTGAGGTGGGATTGCAGAATGGAGACAGCTCCATCTTGGCTAAATTGTGCTTATCTATAGGCACCTTTTCACTGAGAGGGGCAAATGGCTAAAGAGCAGGGTGGACTTCAACAAGGAAGTTCTGCTTCAGCAGCCAGGGAATATGGCTGAAAGCATGAGCAGGACCACGAGATCATGGTGACATGATGGGGAAAAGGGCAGGGCTTTAAAATAATGGGCATAAATGGCTTATATCACCTATATATATGTCACCTATTGGGCTTTCAAATGGAGGGTCCTCATAGGGAGCAGAGTTCTGCTTGAGCGGGGATGTACGTTCAAAAATATGTAGCAGAAACCAGAGTTCTGGAGGGGGGAAGGAGCATCCAGCCAAACCCGAAGGCCAAATCCTCCCGATTCCTTCCGCTGGCCCC